CGTTGCGCATTGAGCGCAACAGCGCCGTCGGCTTCTGATCGCCGAGCTGTTGGCGGCCGAGCAGGGCTTGTAGTCGGTCGGCGCGTGACTGTGCCAGGCGGGCTTGGAGCGCCGCACACAGCACGTCAAAAGACCGAGATGACCGGATGACGTCCTTGACCTGGACGGCGATGTTGGCGGGGAGGTTTGCGACGAGGAGCTTAAACCTCAGCTCGTCGGAGTCGACCCCGCTGACGTCGAAAGCGCACTGCACCTGCAGTAGCCACAGGTCGGGCTCTTCCGGAGAGTACGGTGGTAGCCGGAAGCTAGCCATGGGCCGCTGAGTTGACTCGGAGGCTGAAGCTGGAACGCTGGCTGGGTCTTGAGCTGCGGCGCCGGACTGTGCGCTGTCCGCGGGCATGACGAGAGGCTAAGGTCGAACAACGGAAATCACGTCGGGGTCACCAATTGTCGTACGGCGCTGTCGGTAGCGCGTGGCTGGACGGACGGTCTGTGACAATCTATTTGATCTGTGACTGATCTATTAGAGTGTCCGTCCGAGAGCCGTACGACGGCTGACAGAGCCTGGGGGTCGCGAACTGGTGTGGTAACCGTTACGCCCACCTGGGACGCCCGAGTCGGTACGGCACTTGCGGTGTCGTAACCGGATCGGCGGGAACCAGCAGAACGCTGTTGGACCGGCGGTGAAAGTCGGAACCGAGCACTCGCCCACCAGTGGGGCGTCTGGTCGAGCAGGTCTACCCGCTAAGGCAGCCTGAGCACGAACCAGTGGCAGGGTCCGATCAATGACCGTGGTCCGACCAGGGTGTCAGCGCAATGGCCAGTCAGAGGCGTCTTTAAGGGCGCAGAAGCCCACCTCGGTCGACTGTGGCCGGTGCAACCTAGTCAGGTCGTTTGTGTGAATCTCCGTGTTCTTCCCTCGCCTCAGAGTAGCCGCTCTTCTCCAAATGCCCGAGCCGTTTTCTATGTGTATTTGTCTTGTAGCGAACAGCAGAGTCGAGAAACGAATTGACAATGTCGCCGAAAGCCGCGGTCATATGCTGGCCGTCCCTAGTACTACCAATATGCCCGCAGGCGCGGCGAGAAACAAGCTTAACGTATGAGTCACCGTCCGGCTGCCGGGAGAGCCCCTACCGCGACCTTTGTTCACAGGCATGACGTCACGACAATGGGTTCGTAAACGTACGGGCAGCGGCCGCCTCAGGGGTGCCGCCGTGACCTTTGCGCGACACGTTCTATAGCGTATGGCACAGCGGTTACTAGAAAGGTTGAGGCCAGCGGCAGGCCGGTTTACAAATAACAAACAAACTTGACGCGCAATTGGCAACAGGTAACAGATTGATTAATAAAGCGGTGACAATATAAATGAAAATGACAACATGAAATGACAAATCGCATAGATGATCCCTACAACGTAAAGCCCTTGATAGCAAAGTACATTGAGCCGATGAAGCCGATCTCATAATTTTCAATCGCAACAAACCATTTCAAAGCACTAATCAAACACAATCCAGATTGGATTGCAAAAATTGGAAGTATGATGCAATCCAATTCGCAATCAAATCCTGTTTTTTGGAATGGATTTCAAATCCAGGTGCGATCCACCAAAAAGGAATGCAATCAGGATTTTGCAATCCTGCAATCACAATCCTACCGATGCCTGATAGTAAATACCAATATTATTGGAGCTAAAATCAGGTAACGAGATGGAGAACAAAGGAAAAGATTTACTTCATATTCTTATCAATATGGGCAACACTACTATCGCGCGACCTCTAAATAACAACTATACATAGTTCATGGCCATGCATCACGGCTTTTTGGCAGTAGGCACTAGGCAGCTGGTCTTAGCTACGCAACGACACTGAAGGACATCAAGCCCATCGCACAGGCCAACGAGACAAGTGAATTAACGACTCCGCTGACAGCGCCTGCGACGGTCTGCGGGTCCCGTTGCATGACCATTGATCAAGCCTCACCGACCTTGCACTCTAGCTATTCATTTCCCCGCAAATGAAGATGCATCGCCCGCAGTTTGTCTGTCTGTCCGCCAGTGGAAGTGCTCCGCCCATGCTTTGCGGCTCAGGAGACGGTTGCGGGTTTCCTGACGGTGGTCGGTGGTTGGCAGCCGACCGAGCTGAGTGGTGTCGGTCGGGTCAGGACGGCGTGGTGGGCGGGGACCAGCCGGGGCGCGGTGGGCGGTCCCGTCCCGTGCCATGACCTGCCAGATGACTTTGCAGGGCCCCAGTGGGTCACGGGGCCACCCGGACGTCTGACGACACCTGCCACCGCCCCTGGTGTCATTGCCGTGTCACTGCCGTGTCATCACCGCGTGTCACGGTGACACGTGTCAGCCGTGACACGGTGTCACGGTGACACGTGTCAGCCGTGACACCGAGCGGGAGCGGCCAAACCAAACAGCCAGGAGCCTGTCGGCGGGAGTTTCATGGCGCCCGGGACGGCCGAACGGTGTCGTTGGCGTGCCACCGGAGATACGGTGGCTCGTCAGGAAAGCGTCTGAACTGGAGTGACAGAGGGCATTCATTGTTTCTGGGCCGGAAGGCTGCATACTGCAACTTTAACAATGGTTTGCCGTGATGATAAGATTATAATTTCGTAATGATTTGCACAAATTGAATTAATTTGTCAAAAAGGAGCAAGAATATTGAATCAAATCGTTTTGGGATGAAAACACCTGAATTTAATCAGCTTTGGGTATTTATAATTTCGGCTCAATGCTTTACATGCGTAAGCTATTGCCCAAGGTAACCAACTTAATCCGCTGAGTCACATAGTTATATAGAGAAGTCTGTGACTGAGTCTAGACGTAAACATCCGAAAATGAGTTAGCGCCAGTCCACCAGATTTAACATTAGACTGGACCGCGATGATGCTCAGTCCTCCGACTTTGATGAGGTTTTATGTTGCAATCAAATGACGAAGCACTCTGGTGAACAGCATTATATGTAATATATTTAATGGAATGACCTTCTGTTCAAAATTCTAAAAATTGCCAAAAGTTACCAAAAACACTTGAAAGTGTTTTTCAAGTGTTTTTGGTAACTTTTGGCAATTTTTAGAATTTTGAACAGGAGGTTTTATGTTCTTTAATCGTGTATTATTATGTACGCATGTTGAAAGCTACATTTGTGTCGCACCGTTCTTCCGAGGACATCGACGAAAAACAGGCGGCCAGGGCTGATTTGATTCCACTAATCTGTCGGCTACAATTGAAGAGTCGCATCCCAGACCGGGATGTATTGTGTAATGTTTCATTGGTCACAATAAGCGGAACGGTCTTTTGTGCGGCCTTTGTGATCCAATTTCACTGTTGATGCTGTTTGCAGTATAGACGGAGCTTTCTTACATTTGGTTTTATTCGTGTTGTCGGTCTCGTAAGGTTCGTTAAAAACGCCCACACAAAAACGGCGCCTGTTCCGACTCCGCTCGTCTTTCTGCGTATCATCATTACAAGTTCAAACGGCCCACAGTGATATGAGACGGTGACCGCGCTTGTCATCCACCATTGTTGACATACGCCCTGGCGACAGCCTGCCCTAGACATTAGACAAAACAGTAGACCGTGGCAATGACATTACCAATACATACACACAGGCCAGTGCGGCCCTGTTTGAGTCCGCCGTCCGCTCCAGAAGGGACAAATCACATGATCTTTATATGTAGAGCTGGAGTCAAATTTGGGATGCAGTAAATTTTTAGGGTAGTTATGCATTGCATAGTTAAGTTTCGTGTGTTTTGAACCTAAATCTGATAGGATAAGTACGGTGCAAACGATGTTGTGACATTATGTGAATGCCAAGTTCCGTTAATTAGGTACTCTGTTCTTTATGTCAAAAAGGCGTCTTGCTGATTGAAGCTATTTCTTATTGCTATATGACATTCGGGAGTAGATATATTTATAGTTAACGTAATGCTTTATTGAGCTATCTCCTTGCAGGCATGTGAATATTAGTTTATTGAATATTGGAATATTAAATATTGGTTACACATAGTAAGAGGAAGGTTTCCAGATTTGGTGACGCCGTGGCCCCGTGGCCGGTTGCACGTGGCGCCCGTGTGAGCCGGTTGCACCGTGCACGTGGCGCCCGTGTGAGCCGGTTGCACCGTGCACGTGGCGTCCGTGTAAGCTGGCTGCCCTGGGACCGGGGGCAGGTCTCACGCCGCTGCGCTGCGGCCGGGGCGGACATTGCACTGCAGCCTGTCCCTTGACGCCTCAGTGCTGATATTCAGAGGCGCGCGCCGGGGCAGAGGCGGGGGGGGGGAGGTACGGGTCCGCACCCTCCGCCCCCGGCGCGGCGCTCTCCTGATCAGTAGTCAAAACAGACACATTTGGACATTTTCCATACCCTGACACGACGGTAAACAATGTCAGACGGCTGTACCGCGGCCTGCCCGCGCTCCACTCGGCCCTCCCCGCCGCCATGACCTTGTTACGCCCATGCCCGTGACGGCTGAAGAGTTGGTGAAATGTGCCGCACCATTCCGTGGAGTGTGTGTGTGTGTGTGTGTGTGTGTGTGTGTGTGTGTGTGTGTGTGTGTGTGTGTGTGTGTGTGTGTGTGTGTGTGTGTGTGTGTGTGTGTGTGTGTGTGTGTGTGTGTGTTTGACGGCCGCTGCGGCCTGCCGTGGCTGCGCTCGCCGGCGTGGTAAAAACACGCTCGTGGCGGGAACTTTCGCCGGCGCCGCGGCTCGGCCGGCCGGCAGTTGTGGTGCAGGACCGGAGCGGGGAGCACCGCTCGCTGTCACGGGCCGCGTGCACCGCGCTACTGAGACGGAGGGCTGCCGCGGGCTGTGGGTGAGAGTGGCCCAACCTGCCGCACGCTGCCGTCCCGTGGTGGAGCGCCGGCCGTCCAGTCCGTCTCAGGGGCACCGGCTGACCAGTCCTGTGTAAAGTGTTCGCTGTCCAGCCCATCTGAGCAGCCCCGCCGGCCAGCTGAGCGCCGCTACTCCCGTCTACCTGAGGAGCAGCCATCTGTTCAGTATGGACGTGCCGGGCCTCCCTGAGCTGCTGTATGACGCCGAGGAGCAGCTGGAGCCGACTCCCGGTCGGACCGTGTCCGGAGAGGTCCCCTGCTGGCTCTCTGGTTCGCTCTACCAGTCGGGACCGGCGAAATTTCAGCTGGGTGACGGTTTCTCGGTGAACCACTGGTTCGACGGTTTGGCCATGGTGTGCAAGTTCGCGCTGAGTGACGGCCAGGTAACGCTGCAGAAGCGATTCGTCCAGTCGGACGCCTACAAGAAGGCGACCAAGTACAACAAGACCATCTACACGGAGTTCGGGACGCGCGCCCACACGGATCCATCTCGTGGCTTCTTCAGTCGCCTGGTCTCCTCCATCCTGCCCACGGACATGACCGACAACAACTTCAACAACGTGATCCACGTCAATGGGCAGCTGTTCGCCGCCTGCGAGACCACGCTGGTGAGCCGGATCGACGCCAGCACGCTGGAGACGCTGGAGAAGGTGGACCTGTCGCAGTCACTGGGGGTGAACCTGTGCTGCTCACACCCGGTCACCGACCGCGACGGCTCCGTCTACACGCTGGGCGTCACCTTCATCCCGGGCTTCCGGTACCAGGTGAACCGGATCCCGCCGGCGCCGGCCGCCGCCAACGGGAAGCAGGCGTTCGCGGGCGCCCAGCGCCTGCTCTCCATGCCGTCCTCGTGGACCACCGCCTACTCGTACTACCACTCGTTCGGCGTCACCGACAGCTACATCGTGTTCCTGGAGCTGCCGCTGCTGCTCGTCCTCTCCAAGGTGATGACCATGGTGGTGAAGGGCCGCGCGCTCAAGGACTGCATCGAGTGGCATCCCGAGCACCGCGTCAAGGTGCACGTGCTGCACAAGGCCGATGGAAAGCTCGTCAAGACCAAGTACATCACCGACGTCCCCTTCTTCCAGACGCATGTGTGTAACGCCTTCGAGGAGGATGGCACCGTGATGCTGGACATGATCACCAGCGAGGGCCCCAGTGTGATGGAGGCCTACTTCCTCGACAAGCTGCGCGAGGGGAAGCTGTACAACGAGCATACCATGCGCGTCACGCGGCTCGCCATCCCCGTGCTGGAGGATCTCAAGACGGCTCCGGAGAATGTCAACCTGGTCGGCTCTGACAGCACACGCGCGCAGGCCGTGCGCCGAGGGGACACGGTCACCCTGAGCCTGGATCTGTTCCCAGAGGAGGGTGCCGAGTACCCGACCATCAACCCGGCGGTGCGCGGCCGGCCCTACCGCTACCTCTACGCCACCGGCGGCTTCGAACAGGGCCCGTTCCGCAGCGCCGTCGGCAAGCTGGACACACACTCCCGCACGTGGCAGTTCTGGCGCGGCGAGGAGGGCACGTTCCCGTCGGAGGCGACGTTCGTGGCGCGGCCGGGCGGCAGTGGCGCGGCCGAGGACGCCGGGGTGCTGCTGACGGCGCTTCTGGGCGCCGGACGGCGGCCCGACCGGTTCATGGTGCTGGACGCTGGTCAGATGGAGCCGCTGGCCTGTGTGGAGTTCCAGAGCCGCGTCCCTGTCATGGTTCACGGCACGTGGGTACCGACAGAGAGCACGCACGAGGCCGATGGTGGGGAGGGGAAGTAGGACAAAGGCAGGAATGGGAGAGAATGGCCTGTTTCCGAGCGGGAGCTCGGTGGGGGGGGGGGGGGGGGGATCGGAATGAGATCAATCAAAACCCATTGAGGCTCTTTAGAGTCTAGTCTTCTCCGCCGCCCTTGTTGATAGTTCGGGCACGGCTTATGATTCTTGGGTTCGGATTCACATATCCTGCAATTCTAATATTGCGAAGCATCCGATGTAATGATACTTGATGCAATGTCAAGAAAGTAAAATTGATTTTGTAGTAGGATCCGAAAATGATACTGCATCGCAAGTGATGCCTGACAGATAATCTAACTCAGGTCTCCAACCAAACAAATGGAGGAGTGCATATGTGTTGCACTAAAATAGCGGGCCAGTACCAAGTATATATGTAGACGTCAAGTGATGCTGATACTGTGTAAACCATTAAACGACGAGGTTAACATATGAAATAGTTTTTTAACCTTCCGCAATATTGGTCTCACACTCAATCCTCAATACCAAAACGCTTTTAAATACCTCATATTTAGACATTAACGTGGGGCGGATTATGCATTTATGTTCTAACTTGCATAAGAGTCCGTTTGTCGTTTGATAATGCCTCATTATTGGGAAGTGAATGTCTCGAACAGCGATGCTGGTCACATGTTCGAGAGCTATGTCTACCGTATAGTCGTTTTTGGTGCATTGTATTCAAGCTGCTGTATGTTGTCCGAATATAACCTACCGTCTTCCCTCGGCGATATACAGTTTCAAATGCACGCTACGGGGTGTGCCTAGCCTAAGTAACTTATTCGCAGGCATTGTGGATACCGCATTGTATTGTGGAAATTTTGACGCTCCCAGAGCCACGCTTTTCGTTTGAGATACGAAAATGACCTGTAAGCAATATACATTCTTGCCTATCTATATTCTTACCTTACCTACCTACTATAGCGACAGGACGCTTTACATAATAATGTGCTTTGTATTTACCTACACTCCCTCATGATAAGGCAAGCATGTTTCGGTCATCGTACACGTATCGTATCGTATTGGAGGGTTGACACGAAATCATACCTAACCATTTTGTACCCTCTCCGGCCCTTAGCTTTTACGTCTAGGTAGGGAGGCATTAAAACCTCAGTTCCCTTTAATTCGCTTTCACCCTTCCATTCTCACTCTCGGTTTCACATTTTTTTTGTCACTTTCCATTCGTCTCATTCGGATAATTGTTTCCTCTCTCCCTCTCTCCCCTCTCTCCTCCCTCTCTATGGCTGACGTCATTCGTGAATGCCCCACGCTGCACGGGACAGACGTTGCAGAAATCTCCTGCACTCCACTGATAGTCCATGTGAGCGTCCCTGCCACGTGGTGCTCTGATAGCGCCAGTGGCGGATCTAGGATTTGAGTTTAGGGGGGGCAAACATTGCGCCGCCAGGCAAGTCGGCGAGAATTTCAAACGTCCAGTCTTAGGAACAAAAAAAAAAAACGAGCTACCCCTATTTTTCTCCTCGGATTTCGGGAATTATTTTTTTTTTGATTTTTTACATTTTTGTCAGTCCGGCCAAGCCAGGGCAGCGCAAAAAAAAGAATTTGCAGCCACCCTGACTCCGGGAGATAGTTAGAGAATAGCTCACCGGCGCTATGGACGGTCCGTCCTCTACCTCCCGCATCACCTCGGCAAGACCTCGTCCGAAAGGTCCGCCCGCGCCGGTTTTCAAGGGCTTCTGTATCCGGAGACCGATAAGGGTCGCAGCAGCAGGTTCATGTGTAAATGCCCACGACCAAAGGCCACATCAGCGTACCTGCGATACTATACGCAGTCAGGGTTGCCACGTAGTTAAACGTATTAACAGTTGTTTCCGGTAATAGAAAATGAGATCAGTCGATTAAGAATCCCAACAAGAAATAGACGAAGAACAGCGCATTTGTCTTCGGTCCTGCATTTATTGATGCAATTACAATGAACATTCCTTAACTTTGGGACTAAACTTGTCGAGCTAGCAAAATTATACATAAGTGTTACTTTCGAGAGGAGATAAACGATGCTTCTACAGACTACATAGGACCACAGCGCAACAGCCAACGGAATCACACTGAACAGCGTTAAGTTCCCACAACATACTGAGCTTCTCCAACACCTCGCAAACCAAAAGCTCTGACTGAGCCTTTCTGTGTTTGTCCCCGTTAGATAACGGTATGGCTCATGAAAAAGCCGCGATTGGTAATCTTCTTTACGTTATTCCTCTAAGAAACCTATCTCGCACTTGTCTGCACTCGCACTCGCACTCTCGGCGGTCTGCTGTTGACGGTTTGTTTACTTGGTTCAAGGTTTCAATAAATCGCGTTATTATTTATTTTTTTTGGTAGCAGTAGCAGTAGTAGCACTGCTGATGGATGATGGACTGACATTCATGGGGCGGAGGACTTTTTATCAGCTAAGAACTTAAAGGTAGTGTGCCAGCTTTCCTGGACCGTATGGAGTTAATGGCCCAGATAAGGAGAACCGGATTTTTAGAACTTATCCATACCTTCAAAACTCATGGAAACGTCTTAAATTCTTCAAATTTTGAGTACCCCAGTGCCAAATTCGCCCCGACGGTTTGTCGGTCGTACCCCAACCACATTTCACACCACTATGAACAATAAATGTACACACTGAAATCGCTATTACCGATAGGCTCATCCAATCAAGTTTCGATAAACCCGTTCATCATCATCTCCTGCGGTTTCGAACACGCCTGTTAGGTGGTGCGGTAGACCGCGCCCAAAGCCAAGGCCCCGGTAACGTGAGGTAGCCGAGTCGGGGCAGCGTGCGCTGACCCAAGCCGGGGCCGCGCGTCCTCCCGGTGTCATGTGATAGCCCGGGGCTGCCCGCGGGGATACGGTAGACCGCGCCCAAAGCCGCGGCCCCGGCTTGGGTCAGCGCACGCTGCCCCGACTCGGCTACCTCACGTTACCGGGGCCCTGGCTTTGGGCGCGGTGGTGGTGCGTCGGGCCGCGCGCTCTGACTTCGGCCAAGAAAAATGCGTCAGCTGATCATTGTCAGTTCTGCCACTTTCATGTGGTGAGATGGGGTCATAACTTTAGAGACGGCTGTTTCATATCAATTATTTTACATAAAATAATATTTCAAACCATAAATTAATGTTCGACAGCCAAATTAAAGAAACAATACCAATACAGGCTTACAGTTTAAATCCGACATTGTGTTGTCTACGATTAGACAGCTGATAACTCATTCCCGTACGTCGTAACTCTATAATGACCTTTGCTTATTGTCACATGTGCGCCGCATTCGCGATTGTTGCCGACGCCTGTTTGCAGGTCAGTCCACTACAGTTGTTATACATATCGAAAAACCGATAAACTTTTAGGCGAAAAAAGCACTATTTTAGGCCCATTTTTGATTTTTTTTGCGATATTAGGTAAAAACAGAAGCTTCTTATCCTAGGAAAAATAAAATGGGAAATCATTCAAAGGTGGCACACTAACTTTAATATCACGAATATGACAACCTTCTAGTCCTCCATTTATTTCACATTTTCTTTTCAAACACCATATTTTTAGTATTCAAGTTGTTATTTTTTAGGGGGGGGGGCAAAAAGATATGTTTGCCCAGAGGTTTTCCGTTTAGGGGGGGGGCACTTGCCCATTTTGCCCCAACGTAGATCCGCCACTGGATAGCGCGCTGAAGTGAGCCGCACTGCATCGGCGAGCGGTCGGCGGATATCGGAGAGACCTGCAGTCGCCGCCGATTGCAGCCGCTCAGAACGGAGCGAGGTCACCGCTCAACTCACCTCCGGCGACCTAGATAGAATATTTGAAAAAGTTAGGTACGTTTCGTGTGATCGTCGTTTATTTGTTCTCTCTGTCTTTGGAGCCAATCCATTGTCGTCATTGATAAGAATAGATCATCTCCCTGTCCACACCTCCCTGTTCCGACCTATGCCGGCTGGCGCCTGCAGGTCGCTCCACTGCAGCTGACCAGTGGAGGTGAGGGGCGGTATAAGGCACACCGTCCGAGGTGACTGAGAGCCGAGAGGATGGGGGATCTACATGTATTGTATTGATCTGCAACTGTACGTATTCCATCAATTCCTCCCGCCTCCGGCAGTGTTCCGCCCCATCTAACCCAACCCCTCTTCACGTCATTCTTTCATTTCTGAAATGATCGGGAAATGGTCCTGAAAATGAAAATAATCGTGTTCGTGGTCACGGAAACCCAGGCCGTGACACTTCTCTGTAAAACTTCATCCATCTGCTTTCCTCATATGCTGCTTCCATTGAGTCGTGGGATGATAACCGTGACGCATCGCATGCCTTTACGCTGCCAGACGGTGCACTGTAGGCCGGCAGCCTGAAAAAGCGCTAGAAATTCCCCCAAACTGACTGTCCGCAATATGAACAAAATAGGTATCATTTAATCCCAAATTGATCGAAGAATACGATTCCGATGCTAGTTTTGCCCTAAGGTCAAAATTGAGGTCGTCAGTTGTCACCAAACACAAGACAATTTAAGCTCTCTATAGGCCACCACATTTACCGATTTTAATGATGAACTTTAGTGGTAATTTATTAGTTGACCAATCGTCGTTTTGAACGAAATTTCCTGTCAGACTAGTTCAGGGCACTGTTGTTCACTGTGCCAACATCATTCTGACATATTGCATCGCTTTTCTGCAAGATAAGCTAGCTGTTTGCAAGCAGCTGCAACACGTAATTTAAAATCATATCCAATTTTTTAATTAGACTTTTATAAAAACGTTATTTCGAGCAGCTAAAAATGAACATTTTATACTAGCCTCTGATTACTCATCTTTTGTTCCATATAGGTGCTTGGGTGCTTTTCCCTGCTACTTTTCGAGGTATGCGCCAGTAAACCACATGATGTAGGGGCAATTGTCACCTCGCCGCTCTACTGAAGGCCCGGCACTCTTTAAAACGCTGGAAGTTGTGAAAAACAAACGCTTATAATCTAAATAAAATATATGTCCCTGAGCTCCGAATTGATCAACGCA